TTCAAATTCTGTCGCCGTTTCCCTTTATAATTAGAGATTTATATGACTAGCCATGACGTCAAGCTGCTGATGTAGCCTTACCTTAAGGTAGTGTTATTCTCTTTTGAAGGAAAACTTTGGAAAGTAAAATTTAAAAATTTTCAAGATCCTGCCAAATGGTGGTGGACGGATCAAACTTAGTGCTTTTTACTTGATTTTTTAATTTTTTTTATTTTTTGTTTTCAACTAAAAATTGAAATTTAAATAATTATTAATTCAGCCAAGTAATTTCCATTGAAACATATGTTTTTTTTTTCTTTTTTGTTTAATAATAACTTTCTCATTTGTAAACAAATAATGTCAACACGTGTATTTATTAATATAAATTAATTCATTTTAAAAACAAATCTGTACTGACAGCTGTACTGTATGCTGCTTACAAATGATTTGGCCTAATTATGTAATTTGCGACAACAAGAAAAAAACACGGATGTCAGAATATTAAACAAGTTATTGTTCTGTTTTACAAAACTCGGCATAATTATTATTTTTGTCAGTTGGTCATTAACAAAAAAAATGCAGGAGGGTTATTTATAAAAAACGCAAATCAGGCAATTGGGTTTGTGAGACAGAAATAAATTTGTTTTTTTTTTCTTATTTTTAATTAAAAAATGTATATTTTTTAAAAATATTTTTAGTTGAAGTTTTATTTAAAATTCTAATTTTTTCTTATTCAAATAACATTACGAAAGACAAACAATTTTTTTAAATTTCATTTGACTTAAAAAAATTCTAGAAAATATTATTGCGGCGCTGCGTGTTCCATCGTAGGTACCCCACTTAACACAGTTGACCGTACACTGTTAAATTTCTTATTGTGTTTGAAAACCCAATAGAAAATTTAAATAAAACAATGAAAAATCTGGAAGTCTGAGTGTTTACAGACGTAAAAACAAATCAGTCTCTTGAGTTTGTGGGACAAAAAAATTTCATTTTTTTTTTCAATTAAAAAAAATTTAAAAAGTTCCGTTCAATTTTTATTGAAAAATTTTAAAATTTTTATTCTTATTTAAATAATATTACGAGAGATAAATATTTTTGCGAATTTCATTTGCTTTGAAAATACGAAAGAAAATTTGAAGTGTTCCATCATAGGTACCTCACTTAACACAACTGACCATACACTGTTCAATTTCTTATTAAGCTTGAAATCCCATCACGAAATGTAAACAAAACGAGCAAAAGTCTTGAATTTAAAGACGATTAAAAACAATTCCTGCAATTGAGACAGAAGTAATTTTTTCAGTTCAATTTTTATTAAAAATTATCAAAATTTCTTAAATAACATTATGAAAGATAAACATTTTTGTGAATTTCATTTGATTTGATGTGAAAATGTTATAGAAAACATTATTACGGCGCTGTGTGTTCCATCATAGGTACCCCACCTAACACAGCTGACCATACACTGTTAAATTTCTTAATGTTTTGGAAATAACAATACCAAATGTATTTGCGTGTTTAAAGAAGCAAACAAGTAAAACAGCTTTACAGCCGGGCCGGACCGAACATTGAATACCCTCCACCATTTGGAACGAATTTGGCAATTTTCAAAAACAATAAAATTCTGTTAAAATCTTAAAAATACCGAATGTAGCTGTTATATTAGGGTCTATACGACGACGTGGACCTGCATAGGCGACATTTGTCATAAGCCATTACAATATTCAAATGCGAAACTTAAAAAAATCGATGAGTAATGTCGCCAAAATTATCAAAATACCGAATATCTTCAGGTACCGTTATATGGGGGCTATACGAAGACGTGGACCTGCGCAGACAATCTCCTGTCATAGACTGCAGCATCCATTACGAACTTCAAATACGAAATTTGAAACATTTCCGGTGAATAATGTCGCTAAAATCATCAAAATATCGAATATCGGAAGGTAACGCTTATATGGGTGCTATACGAAGACGTGGACCTGCACGCACAATTTTCTGTCATAGGCTGTAGCATCCATTACGAACTTCAAATACCAAATTTGAAACAATTCCGGTGAATAATGTCGCTAAAATCAACAAACTACGGAATATCGTTATATGGGGGCTATACGAAGACGTGAAGCTACATGGTCCATTTTTAATATCAAAAGTCCTGCAGACATAATACACATTTGAGTGAAATTTTATCAACCTACTGCATTTCGTTCGGAAGCTGGAGTGATTTCCACAAACGTATAGAAGGACGGACATCGCTAAATCGACATATAATTTTATGCTGATCATGAATATTCAATTTTGAAATTAAAAACTTTGAATGAAAATTTATTCAAATTCGTTAAATTATTATTACATCACGTGTTCGTCCATAGGTACCCCATTTCATACAAGCGATCATTGACTGTTAACATTTTATGGTGATTGAAATCCCAGTACGAAATGTAAACAAAACGAGCAAAAATGTTAAAATTTGTGTAAACGATGCTAAGTTGATATATTAAGGGATATCATTTCAATAGATCATAGCCCGATTTGTTGTGATTTAATGAATTTCATAAATCTATTGTGATTAGTCACTTATAGATCACCTTATTATTACTACGTCACATGTTCGTCCTTAGGTACCACATTTCATACAGTGAATCATTAGTTGTTAACATTTTATGGTGATTGAAATTCCAGTACAAAACGTAAACAAAACGAGCAAAAATGTTAAAATTGGTTTAAGCGAGGCTAAGTCAATATCATGAGGGATATAATTTCAATAGATCAAATACCGATTTTTTGTGATTTAATGTATTTGACAAACCTATTGTGATTGGTCACGTAATGTAAATAATCATAGTTATTATTGGTATGTAAATCCTCTATTAGATTATTTGTTGAAATTGCTATTGCAATTGGAATACCTTACCCCAAAACCATTTATCACAGCTGATTATTAGATAAGTTGTCAACTTGGTTATTGTGAATGAAATACCAGTGCAAAAGATAAAGAAATAGCAAATTGAAACATAAACAAAAGGCCAATTTATTATTACTATGTGACATGTTCGTCCTTAGGTACCCCATTTCATACAGTTGATCATTAGCTGTTAACATTTCATTGTGATTGGAGTCCTAGTGCGAAATGTAAACAAAACAAACATTTAGGGGTTTAATGCAAACATATTCGGTGTAAATGAGGCTTATGTCAATTTCTTAAGGGAAATCCTTTCAATTGATCAAAGACCGACACTCTGTTGTTATTTCAAGAACTAGGCAAATCTGTGATTGGTCATTTTTTAGTTTCTATTTTTTTTAGTTCTATTTTTATTAAATTAAAAAAAAATGTTTTAATTAAAAAATACATTTTAATTTTCTCAAATCAAAAAATATTTGTAAATGAAAAAAATCCCATGAATTCAAAAAATAAAGAAATCCTCAAAAAAAATTAATTAAAAAGCCGTACTTCTCTTCCCATTAAAAAAATAATAACCTTATTAATTTCACGCACGTTCTGCTTTAAAATGGGCATATTGAACTCCAATAATTGAGAAATTTATTTGTTATTGAATTAATATAAAGCAAGTGCAAATAAAACAAAACACAGACACACACATTGGAAATTTCGATTTAATTATTGGGCTATTTAAAATATTTAAATAAAATAAATGTTTAAATGTCTTTAACGAGAAAATATGTTTTGTTTAAGTTTTTTCTATTTCGCTGCAAAACTTGCAATTCCGCAAAACAAAATTTTATTCAATATTTTTTTTCTTTTTGTTTTTTTATTTTATTTTTATTCTGTCTCCTCCGATATAATATCATTTTCAAGTTCAGCCGAAGATTTATTACATGCAGCCAGGTTTTTATAACTTATTTTTTTTACTGGCTACAAAAAATGATAATAAAAAAATATTTTATTTTTTATTATTTTTTTTTTAATTTCAACAAAAAAAAAAATACTGAAAATCTCGTTGTCTGTGTCTGACAAATTTATTGCGTATTCTAATTGTGTCAACGATGCTGTGTATTGAAACGTCATTTTTTTGTTTCTTTTTTGTGTGGATTTTTTGTTGTTGTAACAAACAGCCATAGAATTTTTTTTATTGTAAATTATTTGTTTGTTGTCAGTTTTTTTTTTTGCACTTTTTTGTTTTTTGTTCGCTCTGAAGGCAAACAGGAACTGATTATGCCTTCTCTCTTTTTTGTTTGCAAAAATTCAAACAATTCCAATTGGCATCGAATCCAGCGTTCCAATCCAACTGGTCTGGGGTGCATGTTGCAATGAATTACTGTTTTGGCGCTTAAATAGTCAAACAACAAAAGATTTATTTGCAATTAATTACGAAAAACAAACAACAACAACAACAAAAAACAAAACAATTTCAATAAATTCTCAAATCTCTAAATTAATTATTTATGCACATAAAATTGAAGTTTATTAACTGAATCCCCCCGTGCAAATCTCATAGATTGAAAGGCGTGACGTATACGCTATACGTGACGTTTACGCTATGGAAGTGACATTTGAAATCGAGTGGATTAGTAGTCTAAACGTGCCCTCCAGGTGTGGGAACATAAATAGCTTGAAGTCTTCGCATGACATATTTTGTGACATACCATAGCCGCACTAGAATCCTGACGCCGTTTCCCCTTATAATTTGACAATAATATGCCTAGCCATGATGCCAAGCTGCTTATATAGCCTCACCTTTATAACACAATTTAGCTTGAGTTCTGAAAATACATATTTTTTTCAATTTTTCCATTGCCGAATTGCGTTTTGTATTTCTGAACAGTTGATGTTTTTTAATTTATTTTTATTTTAATATTTTTCCTATTTTATTTTATTCTTATTTTTTCTTTTTTGAAATTATTAGCATCTTTTCATTTCCATTTCCCTTTTCCCGCATGACAATAATGAAAATGATGCTTGAAATTTAATTGAATTTAATTTACCTTTTCAATTTATTCGAATTTGTTTTAATAATTTATTATTGTTTCTCTCTCTCTTCCTCTCCTTCTCATTGCAGAACTTAAAGACCTCTTGTGAGAACTAGTCAACAATTTAGTTTAACTAGTTTGTAAATCCGAAATTTGTTTCTGTGGACGTCATCCATAGCTGTTTGTGGCGTTATCTGCTTCTTTTTGCTGCATTTTTTTCTTCTTTAAATTTTTGTGCGGAAGCCGCCGAGAGAAAAAGTTCTAAACAAATCGAACTCATAGAATGGTAGAAGGTGACTCTAATAAAAACTCCAGTAACTGTAAGTATTTGAAAATTGATGGATTATTACATAATTACAAATGGAAAGGAAATTCCTTTTAAAAAAGCTTTATTTTTACGCCACCTGTCTGAGCATAGGTACCCCACTTAACACATTTGATTATTAGCTGTTAAAAATCTTATTGTGATTGAATTCTCAGTACGAAAGTTGAACAAAGTGGCAACAATAGAGACATTTACGCCTTTAATGAAAACCTTTTCGCTGTAAATGAGGCTTAAGTCAATTTAAATAAAAATAAAATAATAAACAAAACGTAAACAACTTTAAAATTTCGTAAATATCTAAAAAAGACTCGTTATTGTACCACATGTTTGACCATAGGTACCCCATGTATTGCAACTTATCATTAACTGTTAACATTTTACTGTGAATGACATCCCAGTAGGGAAGAGAAAACTAAACGGAAAAATTTTTAAATTTGCGAAAAGAAACATAACTAGATTGGAGACATCAAAAAAATTTATGGGCAACCATGGCAACGTACTGAAGTCTGAAACTCTGTTATTATTGATTATACCCTTGGCCATATGTCTAGAGTGGTGAGTGCCAGGTGTAAAAATGGACGTTGTTTTACTCTTTAAAAATGCAACGTCAATTTCATACATCAGTTGTTTTCTTCGGCTTGCCGCTACGCCTAATATTCTTTTTATCACTTTAACCGACTTTATCTTTATTTATAACACATATAGACTAGGAAATTATTCAAAATAATACAAAAAACGCAAAAAACTAATTCCCCAATTCCCGTTAAAGATCCAATATTAAAGTCTGGCCAAATAACACCAACGGCGTCGAGTGAAAGACTATTGAACGTCTTTAGAGTGTCTGCTAACCACTGCAAAATGATAACACTCGGGGAAACTGTTGCGTTCTTTTGTTTTAAAATTGCAAAAAAAAAAAACACAAAAAAACGTATTCCCCAATTCCTATTAATGATCCCATGTCGAAGTCTGGCCAAAAAAATACTAACGGCGTCGCGAGTAAAACTATTGAACGCCTTTGTTCTTTGAGTGACTGCTAATCACTGCAAAATGATAACACTCGGGAAACTGTTGCGGTCGTTCGTTTCAAATTTGTCATATCACAGTGTTATTTATTAATTATATAATAATATATTAATATAATTATATAAACAAATTAATTATTAATAACTTCGTTAAAAAACATCTAATTAGAAATGAAAGAAAACCTCTGCGAATTATGTACCTCGTTGTAAGCGCCATTGTGTTCTTTTTAATCTTTGAATAAACATGTTTTGCTCAGCATAAATTTCCTTTCCATGGCAAATCTGGCGGTCTAATTCTACCTTTAATTGTAAATAATTAAAATTACCACAAGAAACTAATATTTTTTTCTCTCTCCTCCAACCCCCTCACAGCCTATAATGTAGAAAGTGGCCAACAACCAAACTACAACACAAGCACAGTCGACAATCGTTCCATTATCCAACCCTACGGCCTGGGCACCGATTCCAAGGATCTCGGCTATCACATCAACGACGCCTATGAAGTGGACAAAAATGATTTAGAAAAAGCCAATGGCGGCCGTTCGGCCGGCGGCATGAAAGCCGGCTTCGAACAGGCCATTGAGCTGTGCGGCTATGGCAAATTCCATTACATTCTGCTGGCCATCTGTGGTCTGGTCAGCACGAGCGAAGAGATGGACGTTATCAGTATGTCTTTCATCCTGCCGTCAGCGCAATGCGATTTGAATTTGAATACCGAGACCAAAGGCTGGCTGAATTCGATCATCTTCATTGGTATGATGGTCGGTGCCTACTTTTGGGGTAGCATTGCTGATTCGATGGGCCGTAAGAAAGTATTGATCGTCATTTCTTTTATGAATGGTTTTTGCATTGTCGCTTCGTCATTTTCGCAAACTTACGAATGGTTTATGCTGTTTCGATTCCTCAACGGTGCTGCGTAAGTAAAACAACCCCTCCTCTTCCCATCATGACTCATCAGCTATTGAATGTGATAATTTGATTAGCATATGTTGGAAATGAGATTTTTTAAATTTATCACATTTTCAATTGTTGTTATTGTTGTTGTTGCGTTTTTTATTTGTTTTTGTAAAAATACCTCAATTGATCGAAAAATAGCCTGACTTTGCCTTGTTTACGACTAATGAACTAACACAAAGGCTGAATGCCTTGCCTGCCTGCTTGCCCGGGCTTGCATGCTGCCCATCGCTAGTTGATAATTAATTCGTTAAATTTGGCAAAGTGTGCCGGCCGGACGAGTTCATTTCAAAACATGGCATGTAACCAACCATTCTGACAACATTCATTAAGGTAGAAAATAAACTGATATTTTTGATCCCCTGACATGTCAGAAACACAAATTTCATAGCAATTATTTAATAAATTATGCAGCGGATTAAAGAAACTTCCCTTCAGAAAGTATCAAATATTAAACGCAACATCTTTTTTCAAATTTTTATACATTTATTTATTTATTCCAGGTTCTGGAACCGAGAACCTGGAATATATTTGCAAATTTATGCTGCATTCGTGTTAAGTTTTAGTTTTTCCATAACATTTTGTGGAAACGCCTAAAAGTATGCTACAAATATTACAAAGATCAAGTCACTTTTAATTGATCTGTTCCAGAAACTCCAAGAATTTACTAGTTTAGCATTTTTTTTCAATATCGTAAAGCGATAATCGATTATCGTAGTAGAACCTTTTACATTCTTGCAGTTCTGGAACAGAGTCCTCCGTTTCAGAATCTAATAGTTTAAAATTTTTTTCGATCTCAGAAGGGAAAAATCGGTAATCGTAGTAACATATTCAAATTTATTTTGTTCCAGAACTACAAGAATGTAAAAGATTTTACTACGATAACCGATAACGATAACCGATAACCGAAAATTTCAGAACCAGTAGATTCTTGGAGTTTCTGGAACAGAGCAATTCTCAATTTCAATTCAAATTTATTGAGTCTTTGTTTTTAAATATACGTTTAATGGTAACCGAAAAAATATTTTTTTAAAAAATCCACGTTGGTTAATATTTAAAAAAATAATTTTTAAAAAATCCACGTTGGTTAATATTAAAAAAAAAATAGTTTTTAAAAAATCCACGTTGGTTAATATTTGGAAAAAATAATTTTTAAAAAATTCACGTTGGTTAATATTTAAAAATAATAATTTTTAAAAAATCCACGTTGGTTAATATTTAAAAAAAAAATAATTTTTAAAAAATCCACGTTGGTTAATATTTAAAAAAAATAATTTTTAAAAAATCCACGTTGGTTAATATTTAAAAAAAATCGTTTTTAAAAAATCCAAAATATTTAAAAAAAATAATTTTCAAAGAATCCACGTTGGTTGATATTTGGAAAAATATAATTTTTAAAAAATCCACGTTGGTTAATATTTAAAAAAATAATTTTTAAAAAATCCACGTTGGTTAATATTTAAAAAAATAATTTTTAAAAAATCCACGTTGGTTAATATTTAAAAAAAAAATAATTTTTAAAAAATCCACGTTGGTTAATATTTAAAAAAAATAATTTTTAAAAAATCCACGTTGGTTAATATTTAAAAAAAATCGTTTTTAAAAAATCCAAAATATTTAAAAAAAATAATTTTCAAAGAATCCACGTTGGTTGATATTTGGAAAAATATAATTTTTAAAAAATCCACGTTGGTTAATATTTAAAAAAATAATTTTTAAAAAATCCACGTTGGTTAATATTTAAAAAAAAATAATTTAAAAAAAATCCACGTTGGTTAATATTTAAAAAAAATAATTTTTAAAAAATCCACGTTGGTTAATATTTAAAAAAAATAATTTTTAAAAAATCCACGTTGGTTAATATTTAAAAAAAATCGTTTTTAAAAAATCCAAAATATTTAAAAAAAATAATTTTCAAAGAATCCACGTTGGTTGATATTTGGAAAAATATAATTTTTAAAAAATCCACGTTGGTTAATATTTAAAAAAATAATTTTTAAAAAATCCACGTTGGTTAATATTTAAAAAAATAATTTTTAAAAAATCCACGTAGGTTAATATTTAAAAAAATAATTTTTAAAAAATCCACGTTGGTTAATATTTAAAAAAATAATTTTTAAAAAATCCACGTAGGTTAATATTTAAAAAAATAATTTTTAAAAAATCCACGTTGGTTAATATTTAAAAAAATAATTTTTAAAGAATCCACGTTGGTTGATATTTGGAAAAATATAATTTTAAAAAAATACACGCTGGATAATTTTCGGATAAAATAAGTTCTAAAAAACCTACGTTGGCTAGTATTTAAAAAAAATAATTTTTAAAAAATCCACGTTGGTTAATATTTAAAAAAAATAATTTTTAAAAAATCCGCGTTGGTTAATATTTAAAAAAAATAATTTCAAAAAAATCCACGTTGGTTAATATTTAAAAAAAAATAATTTTTAAAAAATCCACGTTGGTTAATATTTAAAAAAAATAATTTTTAAAAAATCCACGTTGGTTAATATTTAAAAAAAAAACAAAAATTTAAAGAATCCACGTTGGTTGATATTTGGAAAAATATAATTTTAAAAAAATACACGCTGGATAATTTTCGGAAAAAATAAGTTCTAAAAAACCTACGATGGCTAGTATTTAAAAATAATAATTTTTAAAAAATCCAAGTTGTTTAATATTTGAAAAAAAAAAAAAAAATATAAAATTCACGTTGGTTGATATTTGAAAAAAAAAATAATTTTTAAAAATCCACGTCAGTTAATATTTGGGAAAAAATGAATTTTAAAAAATCCACGTCGGTTAATATTTGAAAAAAAAAATAATTTAAAAAAATCCACGTTGGTTCATATTTGGAAAAATATATTTTTAAAAAATCCACATTTATTAATTGAAAGTGACTTATTCCACATTTATCTTTGTAATATATGTAGCATACTTTTAGGCGCAAATTGCAAAACAATTAGACTAGGTTCTGGAACGGGGCAATTCTTGCAAATTCTGGAACAGAGCAATTTTTCCTCATTTCTTCATTTTCACCTTTAAGCCTTCAAATTTTTCATTTTTAATAATTCCAATATATTTTTCTTTCCTTCCCACCCTCCCTTAGCCTTGGCGGCAGTGGCCCTGTCATCTGGTCTTATTTCGCCGAATTCCAACCGAAATCGAAACGTGGCTCCATGTTGAGTTTCATGGCAGCCTTCTGGACTTTCGGTAACCTCTTTGTGGCCGGCCTCGCCTGGCTCATCATCCCAACCGGCATTGGTTTTGTCACACCCCTCTTCACCTACAACTCATGGCGTATTTTCTTGATGGTTTGCTCCCTGCCCTCCTTTGTGGTGGCCTTCCTCTTGTTCTATCTACCCGAATCGCCCAAGTTCTTGCTGTCCAAGGGTAAACAGGATAAGGCTATGGCCATTTTCCGTGGCATTTTTGTGACCAATACCAAAAAGGCGCCCGAACTGTATCCCGTCACCGAACTGGATATCGATGAGAAACTGATGGCTGAAATCCAGGAGGCCCGCGACTCGGTCAAGGGTAAATACTCGAAAATGTTGTCGGGTATGGTGGATCACAGCAAACAGTTGTTTACCTCGCCCATCTTGAAATTCACCCTGGTTTCGATCATCATCAATTTCACCTTCCACATTGGTTACTACGGTCTGATGATGTGGTTCCCCGAGCTGTTCAATCGCTTCGAGGAGTACAGCTCCAATTTCCCCGGCGAGAAGGCCGGTGTGTGTACCGTCACCGAATATGTGGTCGGCAAGGACAACCACGAAGATGCCGTCTGTTCATCGCACATTCCCTCGGCTGTATTTATGGAGTCGCTGATCTCCTTGGCTTCCGCTCTGCCCGCCAACTTGATTGCCATCTTGGGTATGGACTTGTTGGGTCGTAAATTCTTCTTGATCTTCGGTACCATGACGGCCGGTGTCTGTTCGGCTGCCATGTACTTTGTCTTCAACTCCACCCAGAATTTGATTGTCTCGGCCGTGTTCAGTGGTGCCATTTCTGCTGCCAATGCCGCCCTCGACTGTCTGATCACTGAAGTATTTCCCACGCATTTGAGAGCCACCGGTGTGGCCATTTCCATGGTTGCCGCCCGTATGGGTGGTATCATTGGTAATATTGTCATTGCCACGCTGCTGGATCAATACTGTCCTGCCCCAACCTTCATTGTGGCTGTGCTCCTGATGGGTGGTGGCCTGATGTGTCTGCTCTTGCCCAACACAACACGCAAGGAACTGAACTAAATAAACAAAAGCTTTGTATTCCAATTTGAAATCGGAACAAAAACAGTCCCACCCAGAATTTGTCCGTTAGCTGCGACACCACCACCTACACCACACATCATGCCCACTTACACAAACACACGCGCTCACACGAATACATCGACATACAAGCCAACACTCACACACACCCACACACACACACATACAGTGAAGTTTTAAAGGAAACCAAAAAAACAAAAAAATGAAGTCGTAACGGACAAATGAACGGATAGTCTTGTAATCTTCAGCTGCTGCTGGATTTTTGCCCTAGCAGATCTTAACTATCATCATCCGGCTCCAAATCTTACACCAAATTTGGTATTTTTAAAATATTTGTTTTTAAACAATTGTTCTTATGCTTAGGTAATATTGTAAATTATATACATTAAATACTATCTATATAATATATGCTAATAATACACTATATACATATATAGTGAGAGAATTTACATATATATATATACACATAAAAATAATATTAAAACAATTATTATTATAATACATTTGTATGTATTTTTAAACAAAAAAATATAAAACCAAATAAAACAACATCGTTGAAAAATGAAACAAATACGAAAAACCATTGCTCTGTTCCAGAACCTGCAAGAGTCTACTAATTTTGAAATTTTTTTCAATATCGTAAAGGATTTTTCCTTTTGTCGTAGAAAACAATTTTACATTCTTGCAGTTCTGGAGCACCACAACCATAATTTTTTTCTTTGAGGAATATGGCCGATAACACGAGTTTCGGTAGAAAATAAATTCGATAAATAAATTTTCTACACAAAATCTTGGGGATAAAAAAATTGTCTGCACAATATAACATTAACATTAATTAATAACAATAATTTATTTCACAAAAAATATCCAAAAAATTAGGATATTAAATTTTTTCTTTCTTATCTGCAGAAAATGTTACGAACATCAGTAATTTCATTCACAGTAATATGATACCCTACACCACTTTGCTAATTTAAGGTGTGTCTGGTTACCCTAAAGTTTGTAACAATTGTTACAAATTGTTACTGGAAGTCGTCTGTTAACCCGAAAGTTCTGCAAAAGAGAGCGGTTGGAGAGAGAAATTTTGACAGTTCTTTCAGTGAGAGTTTGCAAATTCTTGCTGGACAAATGTCTTCTTGCAATCTCTTGCAACTCTTCTTCTTCTTCTCATTCATCGACATTCAATCAGATATTTTCTATTGTTTATTTATTTCTTTTTGTGATTTTAATTTGAAAATATTGTTTTGGAATTAGCAAGACTAATTGTTTTTGGAGAACAACTTTACAAAATGTGAAAAACATAAATACTAATATGTAATAATAAAAAATAAAAGACTATTTCCAACATTTTTAGACAAATGTCATTAGCAACAGGTTTACAGGATTCCGCGGAATACATCAAATCTATCTTCCTTTTATTGCTCATATTTTTATTTTATTGTCAATTTCCTTTTTATTTATAAAACATGTGAAATCCTTTCGTTTAATTCTTTTAATGGGGGACAAATTGGTTTGTTTTGACAAATCAGCTGATTAGTTGCAAGCTTCTGCAGGAATACCGTCTGTTTACTTTTCGCAATTTCCTAGCAAAAGAGAATAAAACTACCTTACTCTCTCAGAAAGAAGTTGCTGGACAATTCCTGCTGGAAAAGTAACCAGACACACCTTTAGTTGAGCTCCACATAAAAATTAAAAGTTTTTTATGGGAGAATTCAATCATACACCCTATGATTATAATTATAATTTAAAATTCAAAGGACTAAATATGCCGAAGCATTTGTTTCTTTTAAATTCGGACTTGTATTGCCCATTTGGTGCAAAATTAATTTGAAATCAGATAAAGATATATATGGAAGCTATATCCAAATCTGAGCCAATCTCGATAAAATTTGGCAAAGATATTTCTGAGTTGTATTAGATATATTTCCCTGAATATCGTTGTTATGGAGTGCATATTACGGCTGTGGGTAACAAATCGGATGAACATTATATGTGGGAGCTATAGCTATATTTGAACCGATCTTCACCAAATTTGGCATACTAGCTTCTAGACTCAATTCGGTCGTATGTGTCAAATTTCATCCCATTTGGTTTAAAACTTAAACGTTTGGTGCACAATAAAAAGTAAATCGGACTAAGTTATATATGGGAGCCATATTCAAATCTGAACCGATCTCGATAAAATTTGGCAAAGATATTTCTGAGCTGCATTTGATATATTTCCCCAAATATTGTTGTTACAGAGTGCATATTGCGTCTGCGGAGGACTAAAATAACAAATCGCATGAACAATATATATGGGAGCTATAGCTATACCTGAACCGATTTCGATCAAATTTAGCATACTTATTTTCAGGCCTAATTTGGTTGTATGTGCAAAATTCCATACTATTCGGGCTGATATTACAGGTTTGGTGCACAATAAAAGGTAAATCGGACGAAAATATATATGGGAGCTATATCTAAATTTTTACCGATTATCTCCAATTTCAATAGGGTTCGTCCTTGGGCCAAACAAATGATTTGTGCAAAATTTCATCTGAATCGGGCAATAAATGCAAACTGTACTTTGTTTACAAGAATACATGGACAGACGGACAGACGGACGGACATGCATAAATCGACTCAAAATGTGATTCTATGCAGATCATCAAAAGGAACTATGGGTCTATCTCGTTTCCTTTTGCCTGTTACAAACAAATGCACAAAGACATAATATCCTGACCACCTTGTGGTGTAGGGTATAAAAATGAGCAAGTGGATAATGCTGATGACGAGACTGATGTAACTACCATTAAAGCTTCTCGATCGCCCAGAAAAAAACAATGGTAAAATGTCATCAAGGAAAGTAGAAACTATTGAACTCTTGAAAGAGCAGTATAAACTTTTGGAACATACCAACCAAGAGTCAGGCAATGCAAATATATTTGTTTGCTGCCTTAGCACTCGCCGCTGCCCTACTAATACATTCTCCTCTTCATCCTCACTTGAACTTAAGATATGTAACACATTTATAATATTCATTTTTTTTTTTTTTTTGCGCACTATATATTTTATTTTTCCGAAAGAGTCGAAATTAGAATTCAAAATACCAAAAATGTTTATCTTTTTTGTTACTGACAAATGAGTGTTGCCAACGTTTTTAATTGTTGCCAACTTTTATTTTGAAATGTCGATGACGCTTCTATGCCTTACCATAATATCATTTTTGAATTGAAGCGACGTCGAGGGCAACTTGCACATAAAGTCGACGACGACTATAGAAGCGACAACCGTAATTGGGCCGAATATCATTATTGTTCATAAAGGGTGATTTTTTTGAGGTTAGGATTTTCATGCATTAGTATTTGACAGATCACGTGGGATTTCAGACATGGTGTCAAAGAGAAAGATGCTCAGTATGCTTTGACATTTCATCATGAATAGCCGAACGATCTGCCACAACGTCGAATTTTCAGTGAATGGGCCCTAGAAAAGTTGGCAGGAAATCCGCTTTTTTATCGACAAATTTTGTTCAGCGATGAGGCTCATTTCTGGTTGAATGGCTACGTAAATAAGCAAAATTGCCGCATTTGGAGTGAAGAGCAACCAGAAGCCGTTCAAGAACTGCCCATGCATCCCGAAAAATGCACTGTTTGGTGTGGTTTGTACGCTGGTGGAATCATTGGACCGTATTTTTTCAAAGATGCTGTTGGACGCAACGTTACGGTGAATGGCGATCGCTATCGTTCGATGCTAACAAACTTTTTGTTGCCAAAAATGGAAGAACTGAACTTGGTTGACATGTGGTTTCAACAAGATGGCGCTACATGCCACACAGCTCGCGATTCTATGGCCATTTTGAGGGAAAACTTCGGAGAACAATTCATCTCAAGAAATGGACCGGTAAGTTGGCCACCAAGATCATGCGATTTGACGCCTTTAGACTATTTTTTGTGGGGCTACGTCAAGTCTGAAGTCTACAGAAATAAGCCAGCAACTATTCCAGCTTTGGAAGACAACATTTCCGAAGAAATTCGGGCTATTCCGGCCGAAATGCTCGAAAAAGTTGCCCAAAATTGGACTTTCCGAATGGACCACCTAAGACGCGGCCGCGGTCAACATTTAAATGAAATTATCTTCAAAAAGTAAATGTCATGGACCAATCTAACGTTTCAAATAAAGAACCGATGAGATTTTGCAAAATTTTATGCGTTTTTTTTTTAAAAAAAAGTTATCAAGCTCTTAACAAATCACTCTTTATTTCCCATAGAAAATCTTGTTATCGGTGATAAATTCTATGGAAAAGCTTGTAATCGCTCATATTTTCTATATATTTGTTATAGGTGACACTTTCTACAGAATATGTTGTTATCTGCAATAATTTTGTGTAAAATCTTCTTCGTTTCAAATTTAGTATTAAAGCTAGAGAAGAGACAACTATCGATTAAGGCGCCATTTTAAAGTCGAGGTCGATGACGGAAACCTCGACAGAAATGACAGCATTCTCAAGTTGGTTGCAGTTTTTTCATCTCACCCTGTATATAGCCCTTAGATTAAAAAAAATCACATAAATATTTTAAATTTTTATACAATTTTTTTATTTTTATTTTTTATTTAAGTTTTCTTTTTAATAAGACAAAGAGAACTATTTACATGTAAATTGATGTAATTATAGTAATAATAATTATTTAATGCAACAAAATATAAAATAAGTGTAGAGTAAATTGAAAGAGTTTAAAAAAAAATGACAAATGAAAGTTTATGCTCTGTTTCAGAACCTGCAAAAATCTACTATTTTTGCATTTTTTTTCGATATCATAAAGGGAAAATCGTTTATCGTAGTAAAAATTCTTGTAGTTCTGGAACAGACCATAAGATAGTTAAAAATATATTCTCAAATGTAGGCTAATAACAAATAAAATGTGAAATGAAAAAAGGAGGAGGCAGGAGTAAAAATTCTCATAGGTTTAAGTTTAAAAACATATGGGAACTTTATTTTTAAATCATTGCTTTAAAAAAATAATTAAATTTTTATTGATGTTCGGAAAGTGAAAACATAAATAGCTTCATTATTTTGTATGGGCAAAAGCGAAAGGGAATAGAAATTTCCATAAATTATTGGCATTAAAATTTAAAAGGACATTTTTAGAGGCTAAAAAAACGAGAACTGTAAAGCTTTGTTTTTTCTTCTTCTTCTTCTTGTGTGTGTGTGTGTCTGTGTGTGGTAGAAGCCTACAACAACTAAAATATGAGATGGTTTAAGTTTTGTCAAAAGAATTTGCTTTTTTAAGAATAAACTAATTTCATAGATAGCCTAAAAGTATGCTTTACTTTTTTCATTAAGAAAAAGATGCCTATTTTTTGTTCAACCAACAAAATCTCAATCACTTGGGGGTTTTTTGCAACAAAATAAATTTGCTCATATCTTTTCAATTGAAATATATCTCTGTTTTTTCTTTTTTAAATGTTAATACTAAGCAATTTTCATGTGAGTCATGGTTAGGGGTTTATTTATTGGTTTTATTGACAATACTCTCTATTCTCGGTTCATAGCAATTTTCCAATGAATAATAAATTTCTCAACATTTTTTTTGTTATCTTTAGGCTAAAATTTAGTTAATTTTGTTTTATTATTGATTTCTTTTTTTTTTGGGTATCTTCCAAGTGATCTCTCTCTTTGCTTTTGTCCATTTTCCAGACCAAAAACGACGACATCCCTTCAAATTTTATTTTCTGGTTGGTGTTTATTTTTGTTTTCTTTATTTTCTTTTTATTGGTTTTGTTATAACTATTTAAATTTGTTGTTTGTTTTTTTAATTGTTATTTATTTTTGTTGTTGTTGTTGTATATATAGTAAAATGTGTTTGAATTGTTAATTATTATTTTTCTGGTTGCTTGGTTGTTTTACATGTTTTCTTTTTTCTTTGCTCTACACTGCATGCTGCTGCTGGCTTGATTTGTTGTTGTTGTTGCAGAATTATAACGAATTTCTTTTATTCAATTTATTACCACCATATCGCCCTAGCAACGGTTCTTGAATATCTCGTCATTCCAAATATTCCCACCAGTCCTTTTCGTAGCCCTCATGCACATGGTCTAAAAGTACTGTACATCTCTTTTCACAATATCTGCAAGGAAAGGCAAAAAAAGAGGAGAATTAAAAAAAAAAGATTTTTGAAATCTGTATTAAAAAATAATCGATAACATGATACTACTTCATAGGAAATATATACAGGGTGAGAGGAAAAAAAAACTTTAACCAACTTCAGACTGTTGTCATTTCTAAGCCTCGCGTCCGACAGCTGTTAAAATTATTCCAGTGACAGCTCATTATATTGTTTACAAGGGTACAAAAGCATTTTGCTGAAAATTTCCCGCAGAAAAGTTATTCGTGATGGCATACAAACGTGATAGTGTGATTTCTTTAAATTTGGCCGGAAAACCAAAAGTGGCTATCGTTAGAGCACTCCAGGATTTAAATGTGAATAAATCTTTTGCGGCTCGTTGTCGTGATACTGGTAGTGTAGCCCGAGGAATTCAGAAAGTTGACGGAAGAAAACAGCAACATCAGCAGAAATTGTTCGAAAAGTAAAGAAGCTATCGTTAGAGCACTCCAGCATTTAAATGTGAATAAATCTTTTGTGGTTAGTACCGCGATACTGGTAGCATAGCCCGCCGACGTCAAGGAAGTGGACGAAAGAAAAAAGGCAACATCAGCAGAAATGGTTCGAAAAGTAAAGAAGTGACTTGATCCAAAACCCGCGTCGCAGTGGCCTAAAAATGGCTCGTGAGCTGAACATATGGCAATATTCCATTCGGCAAATATTGAAAAATGAGCTCGGGGTAAAGCCATTGAAATTCCAAAAAGTGCAAGAACTTACACCGCAACAGAAAGAAAATAGACTCAAATGAGCTAAAGAGTTGCTCCGCTTGGCCGAAAAGGGGTGAACTGACGATTTTTGGTTTTCTCGAAACAAAATGATCGAGTTTACTAGCCAAAGAAGTCAGCTGAAAATGTGCACCTCCTGTTGGCTACCAGAACTCAAGCGCCGGCCATGGTTGTTGTTGTTGTTGTAGCAGCTCATATATCTGTTCGTTCGTTCGGTTTCCATTTTCTGACTACAATCAGGTTCTGACTCCAGTCCAGTCTGAAAAAGGATGCAACCTGTATGGGTTGTGTCCATAACGAGACTGGAGATAGGTGAGTAGGCTTGGCTGGGCAGCGAAATAGGTGCAGCGTGTAATGTGGGCCTGTGCCACAAGCTGGGCAGATGTTCTGCACGTCGCTGTTAATCCGGGCCCATTAAGAATTTAGGTTGCTGCACCATCCGGATCGTAATTGAGCCAAAACTACTCGGGTTTGTCGGGGCAACCCTCGTTCTTCAGCTGCGACGGGAGGGGGATGGTCTCCTAGCACAGTATTCACGCTATATCCTTCAATGGCTTCTGAGACCGCATTAGAGTGAATACTATTCAGTTCTGCTTGATAGGCCTGTTGAACTAGAGGCTCTCTCTTATACCTCTCTCTCTCTCTCTCTAGATCATGAAGGTCTTTCCTAACGCGCCTGGGCGGAGGTTGCCAATCCACAAGATGGTGATTCGGATGGTTTTGTCTATAACACCCAAGCAGGTATTGCATTGACAGCATTTTGTTATGCTGTCGCACCGGTAAGGCCTTCGCCTCCTCATGTAGGTGATCGACAGGTGTCATGATAAGGCCCTCTGTTGCGGTTCTAAGGGCTGCATTCTGGCAGAACATGTATTCGTGTTCGTCCATTTTTCTGCCGGCCATGGTTGTAGTTGTTGTTGTAGCAGTAGTACATGCAAGTGCTCTGCTAATCGGGTTCCATCACAGGTTTAGAAATCCCGCTACTTTGAAGGGCTGTAGCCAGAGATCTTCTAGAGTGAGTTGGATAGGTTTGGCTGTGCAATTAAAGAGGTGCAGCGTATTGTGCGGGCCTGTATCACATGCCGGGTAGGCGTCACGTACATCTTCATCAATTCGTGCCCAATACGAATTGAGACGACTACACCATCCTGAACGTAATTGTGCCAAAACTACACTGGTTTGTCTAGGCAGCTGACTCCACTCCCTATCCATTGCAGCTGAAGAACAATGGATGGGGGGAGTGGACTCCAAGGACCGCATTCATTTTATGGCTGCTAATAGCATCCGCAACTGCATCGGTATTAAGGACACTCAGACCTGCCTGATAGGCTTCTTGATCTAGAGGTTATCTCTTGAGGTTCCCTCTCTAGATCGTGTATGTCCTCCTTCCTGACACGCCTGGATGGTGGGAGATTTATCCACCATATGATGGTTGGGATGGCTCTCACGGTAACACCCAAGCAGGTACTGCAACGAAAGCATATGATTATGCTGGCGTAAGGGGAGGACTTTCGCCTCTTCATGTAGATGGTCCACTGGTGTCATGAGAAGGCACCCTGTCACCCATATGATGGTTGGGATAACTCTCACGGTAACACCCAAGCAGGTACTGCAACGAAAGCATATTATTATGCTGGCGTAAGGGAAGGACTTCCGCCTCCTCATGTAGATGGTCCACTGGTGTCATGAGAAGGATTTGCTTCCACTGCGTAGCACTAAACCACACTGGAGCCGCATAGCTGACCACAGACCGACCTATCGCGTTATAAGAGGTCAACAAGGTTTCTTGAGGACCTTGTTCCTACTTTTCATCTTGTCGCAGATAGCTGTGGCTTGTGCGGACGACTTGAACATGCTGTCGAATGTGATCGCTCGTATTAATCAGAATAAATGCCGAATATTATCGCAAAAATATTCTGGAGGGTGTATTGAGGCCTTGTGCACGCAAATATTTTTGCCGCAGACCTTGGACATTCCAACAGGACTCAGCCGCCATCGCAACCAGCACGCGCCACCCAAGAATGATTACAAAATGAGGTTCCTCGCTTCATTTCCCACGCACAATGACCAAAAAAATCTCCGGATACCGATTCGCGTTGGACTATTGTGTCTGGAATATTTAGCAAATCAGGTTGGCGCACCAAAGTGTCGATCACTTCAGCATCCCGCTTCGCTGGGTTGGCCCAAATACTGCAGAGCAACATTCGGCCAGGCTGTGACTGTTTCTTTGGCCATTTGAAGGTCATAATTCATGCCAAAGCTGACCACCAATTCGAACAAATCTAAACTTATTCTAAAAATTGATGCTATTTCCGACATCTTTTGCTTTCATTCAATAAAATTTTGAAAAAAAAAATGTAAAAATTATGACGTTTGACTTTTTTCTCGAACTTTCTCACCCCTGCAAACCTTCCTTTACGTTGTTTTTTTTTTTTTTTTTTTTTTTTTTTTTTTGCAGTTTTTTTTTATCTCACCCTGCATACCATCCATTTCCAATTATTTTTTTTATCTTCACTTACCTATATTTATCTTGAACTTTTTGTTTGATATCAGCTAAATTCTCTGATGTTATATCACGTTCCAAATATTCCGATAATGTTTCTGTCGCAGATTCTAAATCCTTTTGATTATCTTCGAATATCATTGATTGATTGTTTTTCTTTAAATAATACGCAAAAACATACGTATACATGAGAGTTTGACGGCATTGGCATAAGATATCAACGGCCTTTTTCAGAAATTGCACCTGGAAGATATGACAAAGAAATGCAAGAAAAAATTATGATGTAACCATTCATTCTTTTTTCACTTACTTCAATCCATGACATATTGTGCTGTTGCATCTCCTCCATTTTACGTTTCACAGAGGCATACAACTTATTTTCAAATTTCAAAGATTGCATATGATTCATATAACGATTATAGTAATGTAAATATCTGCAACACAAAAAGAGAACCATTAGCGTATTTGGAAAGTATTTGAAATTTCATCCAACATACCTTGCTAATGATGATCTAAACTTTTCTTGAGCATCGCGTGCTGCTTTGGCTTCATCTTCATCATAACGATTGCAGTTGTACCACGATGAGCCATGTGGCTCCCATGAGCCCAAACATACCCAGCAGAAATCGTGTTTGCAATTTTGATTCTTGCAAATCATGTGATTACAACCGCCATCTTTTTCAATTGTAACATTGCACTTGGGACACTCTTTGGTGTTGGCCGCAATCCAATTACTTGTCTCCGAATCATCATCACATTTCTTGATCCATTTCTTTAGCCAACGACACTTGACCGGATCATGCCAATTTTCACCGCAAACAAAACAGAATTTGTGGCCACATTTACAGCGTACCGGTCGCGACTCCACATAGGATACCTTAATTGCATAGGTGCAATCAATGGACGGACACCAGCGTAACAATTGATTGCATTCGACAAAACTATTGGTGATCAGTTGTTGATATTTGACACGGACACGACCATCATGTACCAGTTTCATAACCGTAACATCATCCACCAATATATCACAGCCGTGGGCGGCACATGAAATCGATTGGCCAAGGCCTTCAGTAACAATTTTCGTTGTTAGATATTCACGCCAGCAGTTCAAACAGAAACGATGACCACATTCTAGGCCAGCCATGGACTGTAAGCACACACAAAAAAATATGATTTAGAATTGGAAATCCATCAAAGTAGACGATATACAAATACATACATCTGAGGGCAATTGGGAAAAGCAAATTTCGCATTCTTCGGCTGTGTTGGCCTTTGAATTCTGTAAATGAAAGAAATTAGTATTTTTGGGTTTTTGTTTTGAATATGGTAATTGATCTCTTTACCTTATTTTTATTGGTATTGGCAGGTTTATTAAATGGATTTATAACATGTGCACCACGGAAAAATTCATCTGTGTTACCATCAAAGTATTTCTCTAAAAGTTTTTCCTTGTCCCATTTGAAGTGGTTTAGAAGTATTCGTGTGACAGTTGGTTGTAGCTGAAATAAAAAAAATAATAAATAAATAATTAAATAAAAAATATAATCGTCCGCTTTATAAGTTTAGACCTTCCAGTGCTATTTAAGTTGATGACAACCAAACTAGAATTTGCCCACAAAAGTAGTTTTCTTACTTTAAGAGTAATGTGGCCATCGCAGGTTTTTTTTATGCTGCAAACCAAAGCATATTGTTACATAGTGACCATGTAACCATTACTATCCTTGGCCTAATTTAAAACGTAACACATAGCATGCGTACATATGTACATACATGTTCAACAATAGATAAATGTATGTCTTATTCTCCTTCGGATTCTATTTACACGGATTTGATGTCTCACAGCTAGACGGAAACATATGTGGGGTCTCCCTTGATCCAAAAGCATGGCGCTTTTATAGATGTAAGGGGACTTAGTGTAAGTTCTTGATTAGTTTAAAAAACAATACATCGGGTCATTCCGGATATAAGATCCAATTTGTGTTGCTTTGAATTACGTTTTAAATTTATCGCCCGTTTTTAGTTAATTTCTTTGCAAAGTTTCTTTATTATCTTTAATTTACAGTCCTTCAATTTAAATAAAGTCAACAATCATTCACAATAACAAAGTCACCAAATGTTTTTCAGCAACTAGAAATTCACAAAAAGTATGTATATTCGGAAAGGCAGTTTTAAAATCGATTACCAATATTGGCAGTTGCATTTATTTACTTTATTTGTTGCAGTATTAGATTTTTTCACTAAAAAATATACACTTCCTTTCAATTGCGTATTCTTCCTTTATAGTTATCATTCACAATAGCATTATCAGCGATGACCTTTAAAATGTGTTTCAACTACGTTAGATTAGTATTCTGTAACTTTTACTTTAGGCTGTTAGCTTTTAGTTTCAAATATATCCTCCATAAAATCAGCTGCATTTATTTCATTGTCTTTTGTCTAATTTTCTGCTTTATTCTTTTTCCCTGAATTGCAATACCATTTAGAATGATGATTCACAATGTGAAAAAAACAGCTGGTCACAGTAACTAAAATGATCATTACTCTCAAAGTGAATAACCTTTCTCTCTGCTGAAGTTGAGTACACACTAGCGGACGGCTTCAAAAGACCAAATTACACCTACTTTGTTATTTCCACGAAAATAACAATTGTTATTTTTAGCTTCAAAAATACATTTAAACCCTGACATATATTTGTGACAAATTGTTCCCTCTCTCTCTAGACTATATGATGCCAAAAATAATTTTTACTATATTTTTTGTAGTTATTTTTTTTTTTTTGCACTCACCTTTATTACCCCCTTAACTTCATCGATGATCTCCCTTTGATGTTGGACAATTTCGTCTGTGGTCAAAACTTCATAATGATATTCATCAGATTCAGCTTGACGTTCATGCGATGGCGGTATTTCATCCATGACATCCATGGCGAAATCATCATCATCACCGGATGACACATTGCCAGAATCCATTTCAAATGAATCTTCATCGGAATCCATGATGATTAGGTTTTGTTGTGGTTGTTGGGCTTTTGTTTAGAATATATATGTAGCAAAGGGAGACGGATGACAGGGAAACAACCAAACGATGACGACGATGTTTGTTTGTTGTTCTTAAATTTTAAAACAATGAATTTAGTTCTTTTAGTTTTCCTGAGCTAAAATATAAACAAAAAAGGGTAAAATATTTAGTATCCAAGTGTGTGCTTTAAAAAATAATATATAATTTTGCACTGAAGAACTTTGGCAAAATGTCTTGTAAAAGAGGAAACAGCTGTTGTTCGAGCTAAGAATAATGGGGTGGTATTTCTTATTGTTGTAGTTCTTGTTTATTTGGGAATAACGATGATGAAGAAGCAGCAGCAGCAGCAGCAAACGTCACTTGACCTTGTTTAAGTTATATTTCTTTCGATAGCTTTCAATGTTTGTTTTTGTTGCCTTTTTTTCTGGTTGGGTGTTATTATTGTTGGACAAGAGTGTGTGTGTGTTTGTGTTTTTGCACACCTCAATACCTTTTCAGCTTGTTGTTGTTTTCGTTGTTGTGAATAACAGAGACAAACTGCGCTGTTTATTGTTGTACTCACAAAAGGGCCGTTTTTTATCTCAATGACTCTCCGATTTTAACTAAAATTTCTTTGTTTAGGTTTTTTCCCCAGTTTGCTTTTGATTTCAATTTTATTTCGTTTTACAAAAATCCGAAAACAATTACGTAGATTTTTTTTTGTGTAAATCAATATTGGAATAATTCACAATAGGTCTATTTAATTTCTCACTCTCCAACAACTCTCTTATTTGACACCTCCTCTCACACTCACTCTAATAAACACTACTAAAATTAAAAATAAAATGTAAAAGAACCGAGAAAGACAAAGCAGAGGCACACAACTGCCCCTTGGTGTATGTGTATGTTGGAATTCGTCTTCTTTTTTTATTTCATTATATTGCGGGGATATTTTTTTTATATAAAAGAAAAACCTTTTATATCCCCTGAAAATTGGTTACGTTTTTTAATCAATACACACCAACACATTAACAAACGCTGTGTTTTTTAACCAACAACAAGAACATCCGAGTTCAAGGCTATTAACAAATGGGGCCACACAAAGAAAGGAAACAATAAAGAAACACAACTATTAAAAGGTCCATGAAATCCAAGCACTTATTTTATATGTTAACCAGTGTTTTGTTGCTTTTCTGCACCTTTTTGAAATATGTTTATATATTTTTTTAATGAAAATTATTTTTTTTCCTTTGTAAAAAACGCAACACAAAAGGAAAAATAGCTGATGACTGAGAAAAAACTACTGACGTCTAAAAATGCAGTTAATTTTTCCAATTGCAATCCATGCCCGTAACAATAGCGAGTAATTGAAACAGTCATACACAACTATTGTCATCTCTTTCTCACACATACACAAAAGAAAAAATAATAAAAGTCAATTTTTTCCACCACAAAATTATTATTAGCTTTGGGTTTTTAATAACTATTTGAAATGTTTTTTATATTTTATTTACTTTATATTGAATTGGTGTTATTAATTTATCAAATTAAATGGAATTTAACTGTTTTTTTTATTATTATTTAATGTGCACGAAAAAAAACCCGACGTCAACTGCTACTCTAATCCGAGCCAGACTAGGGCGGTGTAGATCGACTATTGACTAATCGATTGAACAGGAAAAGCAAAGAATGGAAGAAGTGGAATGATGGCATAACCCCAAAGAGGAAAAATGAGGGAACCAGTTTAAGACAGAAAATTAACGTCTATTTACACACATATTTTTAGCCGGACAATGTTTATAATTGACCTATGAATATTATTTTAACAATCGAAAACAACGGATAACTCGGCTAAAGATTTTGTAAAGTGCGTCTGCTTTTAAAAAATTAGCTATGATGTAATTTTAATAGCTGAGAGCGGTATTTGCCCGAGTTTCTTACCAAGGCTACATTTACAAGGAAGTACTCATGGCAAAACAATAGAGAAGGACTCATTTGCTGAGTTGCATTTGACAACCCCTGTCATTGTTAAAATAAAATTTATATTTAAAATATTTTTGCGTAACTGGTAGAAGAAGAAAACAGGAAGATGCACATTGGAATGTCACAAATTCTAAAATGTCAAAAATACAGGGTGAGATGAAAAAACTGCAATCAATTTCAGACTGCTGTCATTTCCAAGCCACTCGTCCAACAGCTGTTAAAATTATTCCAGTGACAGCCCATTAAATTGTTTACTAGCATACAAAAGCATTTTGGTGAGAATTTTCCAGAAAAAATGTTATTCATGATGGAATGCCTTTCCGCAAATATTGAAAAATGAGCACGGGGTAATGCCATTGAAATTTCAAAAAATGCGAGAACCTGCACCGCAACCGAAAAAAAATAGACTCAAGAGAGCTAAAGAGTTGCTTCGCTTGGCCGAAGAGCGTTGAACTGCCCAATTTGGTTTTCTTCGATGAAAAAACATTCGTTGTCCAGTTGTTTGTAAACAAACAAAATGATCGTGTTTACTTGCCAAAGAGGTCAGCAGAAAATGGGCACCTTCGGTAATGGTGTGGGCTGCCCTAACAGCTGATGGTCCCTCTGCGCTCGTATTAATCGACCGTGGCATCAAAATAAATGCCGAATATTATCGCGAAAATATTCTGGAGGGTGTATTAAAGCCTTGGGCACGTGGACATTCCAACAGGACTTAACACCATCGAACACAGCACGCGCCACCCATGAATGGATAAAAAAGAAGCTCCTCGCTTCATTTCCAGCCCACAATGGAAAAATCCGGATACCAAAATCTCCGGTTACCAATCCGTTGGACAATTGTCTCTGGAATATTTTGGAAGGCAAGGTTGGCACTAAAAATACCAAATTGTCTGTTTCCGCCTTTTTGCCTTTATTCAATAAAATTAAAAAAAAAATTATGGCGTTTGACTTTGTTGCTGTTTTTTTATCTCACCCTGTAAGTATAAATCTGTTGACAAAACCGACTGATACTATTTTACATTTTTTATTCATTTTTTTTTAACAAAATTTTTAAAAATATTTTTAACATTTTTTTAGGTTAGGTTAGGTCTTCCGTGAGTCAGGTTTACAACTCTCTTCCATTAAAGGAATTTAAAAATAATAAATTACCCAAATCTTTATGTCTTAGCCCGCCGCTTTGTTCATTCATTGCATTGCGTGCTGAGGGATGGATGCGCTGGGATTTTCTCGAACTGGCCGGAATGGTTAGAACAAATGAGGCCAGTCGTGAGAGTAAAGGATATTTTTGGCTATTTGCCAACCACCAGTGGCAAACATTAAAGCTATTACTTATAACAACATGTTCTTGGAGATATGCATCAAATTCTTTGTTGGCATTCTGGGCCATGGAATCGTAGGTTTCTACATTCATAGAACTTGTGTTTCCCAGGTGTGGAAAGAATGCCATATCTTGGTTATGATTTAAATTATCAGTCGTGCTATCTTTGGCTTGACTGGCTGCCAGTATTTGGATCCTTTCCAGGAAAAAGTTACGTATGGCAAGGATATCAGGTTTCTGCTCCTGATTAGCCGGTGGATAGAGAAATAGGGCCGTTTTATGCCATATATTTATGTTCTTCAGCCAAATGGGTTCTAAAAATTTCAAAATCTTAATTTTCAATTGGCGTATCTCCAAGCAGTCGCCGTTTGCGGGTTTACACACACTCTTTACAACATTCAGACAGGGTATCACAAAACATATTGAGGGCTTCTCGGTCGCTTGGAGTCTCTTGAAAACACTCTCAAATCGATTGAACAAATCCACAATGTTTTGTAAAGTTTTCAAAATCGTTTCGCTGATATGTAATTTTTTGTAATGCCTCTTGATTTGTGACCAATTTTGGGTGATTAACTTGATTAGAGCATAACTGGAGTTATTGTCGCCATTAAAGGGCGAACATTCGAAATTTATGTCTGCTCCGTCCAGGTGTTTGGCTGCCTTTTTAATGCCCTTACAGGTTTTGATTAAATTTTGCATTTCAATGGTATTGTTGATTGCCGCCAGTAGGACCTTGCCAAAGATATGGCTGTGGCAGAAGAAAATCTGATAATCGGCCAGGGCATCTTTGATGTGACATTGTTCCTCGAAAACGATGGGCATGTTTTTGAAGTCTTCTATTCCAAATTTGTTTAGCAAACTTTGCAATTTTCGGCGTATGGTTTTGCTTTTACTTTCCGATAGCGGCCATGATTTGACGCCCAAGGTGAAGTTGGAAAATTCGAAATTTTTGCCATAATGTAGGTTGGCAATGAGCATAAATTTTCCCGATATGTTGTCGGGATACAATTCCAGCGATATACAGCCATACAAATGTAGATCTTTGAATTTAGCCAATAATTCGCTTGTTTTCTCTTCAGCCATTTCTCGTAGGGTCGATGAGACCAATGACGAGGGAGTGGCCAGAAAATCATTCATTATTACTTGACTATCGTATTGCGTGCCCAGTTGCAGACAGTAGTTGAGTAGTTTACGAAAACCCCTACCCTGTAAAATTCGAAGGGGTATACAATCTTCGGCCAGGTATTCGGTGATGTTCTTGAGGATTTCCATTTTGCCGTCATCCAGGGATTTTTTGTGGCAGGGATGATTTTCAAGTATGGCCATGGAATTATTATCTGCTCGAACTAATTGCAGACATTTACGACAATAATACCAAGATTGGAGCACCGTTTCGTCTGATCTCAAAATACGGGCAAATGTCTGCCATAACTCAAGCTGGGCATTGGGCTCAAAGTAGAGCTTATAGATGCCTTTAAAAAGATTCTCTTCTATTATTTGAGCGACATCTTCTGCATTTGTGGGTGATTGGAAATCTATGTTTTCTTCGATGGAAGTAGCCATGTTTTCCTCCATTTCCTCTTCTGGTTTTACGATCACCTCCACTTTCTCTTCTGGTTTTACAATCAAGTCAAGGGTGGCCAAAGAGTTTAGCAGCTCTTCTTTTGATTGGTTTGCTTCCTCTCCTTCTGATTTTTCGATTTTGATTTCCGGAACTTCTTGGAGCATGTTTTCATTTTCAGTTATGGTTTCCCCAAATTCATGGAATATGTTCTCATTCTCCATTTCGGTTTCTCCAGGGTGTTCGGGGATTTCTTCAATTGTAAAATAGGTTTCAGGTTCCTTTTTAATATAAACCGAAGATGTGGGTTCTTCGTCGTTATCCCCAGCCTCTGTAGGTGGTATGGATGTTACAGAGGAAATACGGGGAAATGTGGCGTTCTGTTGTTGAGTATTTTGGGGAGGAGAAGAAACTGAAGAAACTTTTTGGGGTCGAACTAAAGTACAGGGAGTTTTGGTAATACATTGTGGAGAATTAACTTCATCCGGCTGGAAGTCATCATCCTTGTGGCAAAAGTGCTCACGCAATTTCACCTCTCCCAGTATTTTATCATACCTCACCAGGTTACGACAATTGCGACAACATACCAAACCATTTAAAAACGAATCACCATCTTCCATGGCAATAAATGCAAACTGCTGCCATATGTCGGCCTTCGAATCCGGATTCGATTGTAGTTTATATACTCCCTTCTTGAGTTTTTGTTCCACGTTTTTCTGTATCAAACCCATTTCGTAGGAGAAATTTTGTTTAGCTCCAGGACTCGCCTTAAATTTGGGCTTTTTCCTTGGACATTTGATTACAACTTTCGATTCTCGTGGCTTTTTCAAAACACCACCACCACCATCATCATCCGCATCTTTTGAATCCCCTTCAATTGGAACACGTTTTAGGCATTTTCCATAGCATTTGTGCTTTGTATTTCCCGGACGTTGAATGCTATGCTTCAGAACAGTATAGCATTGTTTGCAACAGATGTAGTCCTCCAACAGACTGCCATCTTCGCGGACAATCAAGGCGAAAGTTTGCCATTGTTTACTTTTGTGCTTGGGAAAAGTTCGCAATTTATATTCGCCATTTCGTATCTTGAGGGACATGCCAATTCTTGTTTTCATGTCATTGCTAGAACTGAAAGGGGGAGGATTCCAATTAGTAAAATGACAATCTTATTATAACCATTTCAAATAAAAGGTCTTTAGAACTTAAGATTTTGAAAAAGGAAACAATCTCAGCCATGGTAGAAGAATTCAGGTGGCTGCTGCTGGGGCTATAAACTGTCAAACCAATTATGGAATTGAATTTTTTTAAATGAAAAATTATTCAAACTTGCACATCATAACAACCTCCGATTGCCGTCGAAAAGGAAAACATATACAAATCTACTAATTTTTGAAGAAACATTCAAAACTTTTGACATATCAATGTTTCCAAGCTTTTATACATCTACCTGTATTCTTCTACCATGGATCTCAACACACCTTTTGCTACCATTGCGGCACACATGATTACACAGCATCTCCTCGTTTTCTGGAGCATATTTAAAAACCCGTGTACACTTGCGACAGCATACCATATCCTCCAGGATCTCATCGTCTTCGTTGCGTATCAGATAAAATGCCCGCCAAAAGGGCTGATATGTAGTATTCAATTTACATTGTAGTTTATAGAGACCCTCTTTGATTTTCAATGTAATATCTTGGCAAATGGGATCGGTTATATTTACAGTCGAATTTTTTAAACTACTTTCTTCACTACCGCGATGAGCATCCTCATCGCCAAGGGATAAGGGATCCGTTGCTTTGCAA